GAATGCTATATGTGGAGAAGGGGTCACCAGGTCACTGTCTATGGTCTATGCTTTCCTTAAAATCAAGCATATGTGGTTCAGTAACCCAGTGGGGAATCTACAAGCATGAAACTTCCTACCTCTTTAGGGTATAGCAGTTTAACAAGACCACAGCTCTAGTTGCTCAAAGGACCAGTTAAGATCTTACACTCTAAGCTCCATAAAGGCAGGAACACATCCCAGTCTGTTCATTAATAGAACTATAACACCTAACACAGCTCTTGTCACACAGTAGATGCTCAAATACCTGAATGAGTTTGAAGATTCAAAAGTTACTGTAATTCCAAATGTTTTTAAACAGATCCAGAGATTAGCCCACACTCTAGTATGACATAGCTTACTATCTGCCAGCATTACAAACAATATTTGTAATAACAATTACTTATGGTAAGGTACACATGGTATTATAAAAAGAACACAGGTTTTAGGGCTGGGGATTTAGCTCAGTAGTTTCGCCGCCTGCTGCACAAGCGCAAGGACCTGAGTTTGATCCCTGGTACCAAAACAAAACACAACAAAACAAAACAAAAAAAAGAACACAGGTTTTGAGTCAGACTGACTTCCAAATTCAGATTCTCTCGCTGACTTGCCATATGAACTTGGGCAGGTTACCAGATTATCCATAGCTCTATGATGAGTATAATATTCCTTACATTTGACAGAATTGCTTTGAAGTAATCAAGTGTGATATACTTCAATACCTAATGGTAGGCATAGACTAGGTGTTCCTTAAACAGTATTAGCTTTCATGCTAGAGAACTGGAATTAAAATCCAGGGAGTCACATGGTGCTTATTTTTGCATGCAAAGATATTTAAGAATGGCACCCTGGGCTAGGTGAGTCACTAACACTTAAACCAAAAGCTGTCATCCCTCAAATGTATTGAGCAACCACAAGATTCTGCACTTGAGGCTGTACTATAACCATTCAAGGGCAGGTAAGAAATAAAGATCAGCAACAACAAAAAAAGACACCTATCTGAAAGAGAAGTATCTCAGTGTGTCATCAGCATGGAATCACCACTGAGTCACTGTCAGATCAAAATAAAATGTACCCTGTACCAACAAGTGCTAATGATCTTTAAAATCTGAATAATTTGGCAAGAATTGTGTCTGACAACAGTTGAGAAGAGGAGGACTCAAAAGGAAAAGCCCATGTCATGAATAACAGACATCAGAAGTTCTCTAGGGCATTGGCCATAAATGTTCAGGGAAATAAACCATAATCACCCCTTGCAGTATGCCTTTCTCACTGTTGAGACATGGTGGTCTTGGATGAAAGGTACAAGTGTGCCAGTTCTACTGACATCACATCTCATTGGAGATAGGTATTTCAAAAGTGTGACTAAAGAGAGCACCAGGAGGCAAAACCTTCCCATTGGCAGAAGCAGGTGCAAGATCCTCGGTAAGGTATAAATAACTCCAAAGACATGAAAGAAGAGTTCTGATTGGTTTCAGCATTCCAAAGGTCCAGAAAAATCAGGCAGATTTCAACCAGAATCCTACCCAGCATCTGAAACACCACTGGAATTGCACAGCCCGGGGCAGTTGGTATGCTTCAAAAGCCTCCTACTGAAACTTGGAGAGAAGCCTTGAAATAATGATAATAATAAGCAGCTGAAAACACAACCGTGGATGAGGCAGGGAATGAAACAGAGTAATGGGTGCCTGGTGACCCACGAATGTGACAGTAACTCATCATAGAGCTTTTGACATGCTGGGAGAATAAGCATCCTTCAACTGGATCAGATGCCTGCTTCACATGGTGCTGTCCACAGCAATCCCCAGGGGCGGAACCCAGAAGGGTGCAGATGCTCTGCCTGACCTCAATGTCAAAGCCAAGCAATCCCCAGTTTCTCTCAGTCACTTCCAGTTCTGTCATTCAAAATTTTGCCCAGATCCTTCTTAAATTGAATTTATACATCCTGCCAAGACCACCTCTTGAGATAATGAGTTTTTGAAGATTATTGCCTGCTGTGTTAAACAGTACTTCCTTTCATTGGTTACAACAAGAAAAAGAAGAATTAGGGGTGAAACAGCAGAAAGGCTAATGTTACTTTCATCAAAGGACAATCTCATGTTATAGTAAGCAGAAATACTCAAAAGCCAGGAAACACAAGGTTTTGAAGCAACAACCATGAACTTGGGAAACTTAATGACCGAGTGTTTCAGTGGATGAAAGTCACATGCATTTATAAAAAATAGGACTGGACAAAGGCATAATTTATGTTAGAGATACCTACTTAGAAAACTGCTCAAAGAGCATGGAGTTCGGCAATGTTCTCAATCACAAAACCCTGAGCTGACTGCAAATGGGCAGGATAAAAGAGGAAAATCTGCTAGAAGACACTAAAATTAATACCATGCCTCATGTATAATGAGGAATGCTACATAACCACTGCAATCTTCAATGGCAAAAAGATACAGCCCTTCCCTTGTCTGAGCTGCACTACGGAGCTAAGCAAAAACGAGTCCCATCAATATAAACATCTTAATTACAATATGGTATCCTGGACTGATTCCTGGAACAGAAAAGGGACATAAGTTGGAAAACTCATTAAACCTGAACAAAATATGGAATTTAGTTAATAGTAATTTTAAAATATTAATCTTACTTTTAACAAATGTGACATTATTATGTAAGAAGTGAACAGTGGGGACAACTAAAGAAATGTATAAAAGACTCATACTAGCTTTGCAACTTTTCTATAAACTTAATATCCCAAAATAAAAGGTTTATTACAATTAAAAATTTTTGAAGCAAATATATTTTGAGTCTTCACAGCTATTATAATGAGAGCTGGCAGTCAATAAAAACCATCAGTTTTCAAGAATCAGGATTTATTTGGGTCAGAACTCCCTGATACAAATGGGGAGGGGGTGGAGCCCTGTGTTAATGATAAGGAAAAAATCTAAGTGGATATTGTTAGGATAAGGAAAATTAAGAAGATATCCACAGTGAATCAACTATGAAGACAGTGTGTATGAATTTAACTCTATCATGACCCATCACAATGTTATCCCAGGAACACCCATGGCCTTACAAAAAACAGACCTTGGGCTGGGGGTATAGCTCAAGAGTAGAGTATGTACTTAATATGCACTAAGGTTCTGCATTCAACCTCTGGCACCAAAATAAGAAAAAAAAAAAAAAAGATACGCTCCATGATGGCCAGCATGAACCACATTCAACATAGTCAGCCTTCCTCTCCAGGTACCATATAATATTTTTTTAAAGAAGTTATACACTAAGTACACCTAAAACCTATAAATAGCCTGAAAGGAAAAGACTAGAACAAAATCTGGGAATTGTGATATACAGTGGGCCCTCCGTATCCATCAGTTTCATATAATCAATCAACTGAAGATCAAAAATACTCAAAAGGCACAAGGACCTGAGTTCAATCCCCGGTACCAAAAAAAAAAATACTCAAAAAAACACAAACCTACATCTTTACTGAACATTTATATGGACATTTTTTCATTGTCATTACTTTCCAGACAGTACAGTATAACTATTTATACAGTATTTACACCATATCAGGCATTATAAGTAATCCACAAGTGATTTAAATACATGAGAATGTGTTTAAGTTGTGAGGATAAGTATATGAGGATGTGCATAAGTTTTATATAAATAAGGACTTGGGTATCCTCAGATTTTTATATCCATGAGGGGTCCTGTAATCAATCCCCCTCAGATACCAAGGGAAAACACTAATTACCAAAAACAACACTGATGTTTACCAAAACACAAAATAAAGTTACTCCAATATTAATCACTACTCACTGACTTAAGTGCAAACATGTAAACACAAAATTCATTTATATTTTATGTATACTTTATACACATAGCCAGATGATAATTTTATACAATACTTTTAGTGCACCTGTGTTTTGAATGTGACCCCCCTTACAAGGTCAGATGTGGAATTTTCCACTTGTGGCATCATGTCAACACTCAAAAAGTTTCAGATTTTGGAGCATTTTGGATTTTTGGATTAGGGATGCTCAACTTGTAATTACAACAGAGCTCTAATTAGAAGCCTGGTTTTGACAACTAAAATCAGATTCCATTTCCCTACCTCCTCTCATCACCAAAAATAAAACACTCAAACAGGCCAACTGCTTTGCTGCCAGCTGTAATCTATGCTGACCTTTAGGTCAGGCGATTAGATCATATTCAGAGAGCGATACATCCAAGAATTGAAAAATCTTTCAGAAAAATCACCAATTAGTAAAAGCCAAGCTTTTCAGTTTTTGTTGACAATAAATCAGTCCTTTGTTTTTAATGAATTAATTCAGTTTGCACTGATTATAAAGTGATGTATGAATGAATCCATTGTACATAAACATTATAGATTTTACATGTTTGTGAGCAAAGACAAATAATACAGAGGGAAACAAATGAACACAACAAGGTGTTTATGGTTTCATTGTAGGTTCAGCCATTAGCAGAGCACCCTGGGCATGTTGCCTAGTCTTGGAATCTTTTTCCTTTTTTTTTTTTTTTTTTTTTTTTTTTTTTTGGTACCGGGGATCAAACTCGGGTCTTTGCGCTTGCACAGCAGGCAGAGAAACCACTAAGATAAATCCCCAGCCCCAAATATTTTTCTTAACCTGTGAATGAAATAACTAACTCCATGCTTCCTCTACAAAGAAACTGTCAAACTAAGGGACAACCTCTGAACTCTATCAATCTGTGCCTCCTACTTACTGTAAAATAATATTCTAAAGGCCACAGAAACACAGAGTTTGATAAATGACTCAGTTCTATGCAAACAATTTTAAAGCAAAATTATTACTCAAAGACAGCTATGTCATTAGCCTTTTCTATTCCTGTACATAATTAAAATTTTTATTTATATAATTTATACTACATTCTTTGGACTAGTTAAATTTCAGATCACTAAACTATTTCTCAATTCCAACACCCAAATTGAAAGAATATGCCCTACTTACAGTTACGAATGTCATTCCAGTCCATCTTAGAGAAAAAAGGATGGCAGCAAAGGCCCTCAAACTTCAATCTCTCTTTCTGGCCACACAACAAACTCTGAATCAGATCAAGGTATTCACTGCTAACTTTTGGGTCATCTGGAAACTTCAAAAACCGCTGTTCCAAAAAACACAATAATTATTTTCTTAGCAGTAATTTAGTTTCTCATGTCCCAAAGTTAAGATACTATTTCTTATATATGCAAGCTCTTTTTTTTTTTTCTTTTTAACAAAGAAAGAAGTTCCATGCCCTCTTAACTTTGGACCAAAAGCATGTTCCCAAAATAAGTGGCCTGTTCATATCAATAGACCTAGCTCCTTTAAACTCTGCTTCTCTCTCCCATCTCACTTTGTATGCTCCCCATCTCTCTTTGCTGTCCAACAATAATGAGCTATTTAAAACTCCCCAAACACACCAAGTTGTTCTTTCGGCCTAGAACTCCTTCTCCACCCACAGGCCTCCTCTGACTACCTTTCTTGCCCTGCTTCCCTCTTCCACATGCTCTCTCTGAACCTATTTTTGCACTGACACAATGCAGTGTAGTTTCTGAGTGATGATGGGGAAAGAAAGCAAAGAGGCCCTCCTTCTTGTTCATCACTGTTAACCTGGTACTGTACCTAATAGATAAACCTGCTACAGTTCACTCATGATTAAATTATTCAATGAGCAAGCTGAAATGAAGGAAATAAATCAGTCCCAAGAGTCATCTAAGGAGAACTTCAACTCAAGAGAAGACTCAAGAAAAACAACATATGCTACATTAAAAATTATATATTAACTATTCCAGGAAATGGAAATGAATTCTTTTTCCTTTTAGCGTTTTTTTTTTTTCAACAGGGTATCACTATGTAGTTCAGGCTGGCCTTGAACTCATGGCAATCCTACTGCCTCAGCCTCCTCGGTACTGGGCTTATAGGCATGCACCACCATGCCTGGCTCTCTTTTTTCTTTTGGAAACTAAAGAATACATAGATATTTATTACATCTTTAAGAAATGGGCTTAATGTAGTGAACAGTATAGTCATCAGAAAATCATTTTTTTTGTTGTTGTTTTATTTGTTTTGTTCTGTTTGTTTTTTTGGTTTTTTGCAGGAATGGGGATGGAACCCAGAGCCTCTCATATGCTAGGCAAGTACTCTATCACTGACCTACACCCTATTTGATAGTGCTAAGAAGCACTATAACATAAAATAAAGAGCATGAACTATTATTTTGGGCACGTTTCTTAACCTCTCTTTGCCTAGTCTCTTCACATACAAATTTTTTTTTTTGGTATCAGGGATCGAACTTGGGTCCTTGGACTTGCGAGGCAGGTGGTGGAACCACTGAGCTAAATCCCCGGCCCTCTTCACCTATAAATAAAAATAATAACAATCATAATACTACCTAGCCCACAAGGTTTTTGGAAGATGAACTAAACAAGTAAACTATAGTTCATCAGTTCTAAGATTCACATTTATGTACATTTAATAGTAGAGAAATCAAGATGCATTTTATAATCAATAAACATGTAGATTAATTGGCAGTTTTTCTTTTTCAAAATAATGATGTAATCTTACAATTACTGGCAGCTGAGATTCAATGAACTATAATTAGCAAAGCATTTAGGGCAGCTTTTGGCGCACAAAATGAGTGCCTTGCTGGTTTACACATCAATGTTCAATCACACAATTTTTAAATGACATTTCTCAGTATTGCTTCAAAATCTAATGACCCTTACCTGGAAATTCATAATATTATTAAAGGTCCTGGCCGAGGTTCCCTCTGTGAATGGGGTTCTCCCATAAGCCATTTCATAAGCAATAACTCCCACTGACCACCAGTCACAGTCTAGGCCGTAAGTTCCTTTTCCGTCCCCGTTCATTGCGGTCAGCACTTCAGGAGCCATGTAATCCGGGGTTCCAATTGGGAGCTTGGCATTTACCTAAAAATCCATAAATAAAGCAAATACAGCAATTATCCTCAAGTAGATTGCCAACAGCCACATCAGACACAGGCTGATTTGCCACTGATTACTATTCTCCCAGGCACTTAAATCCTCTGTCAAGTGGCACATATCACGAAATGCAAATGCTTTACTAATTATTTTTTAAAAGTGCATAATACAATCCAAAGGCAAAGGGGTAAGATTTGTTGATGATACGCACCCTTTGGTATTACACAAATGAGAACTGAGTACATAGTTAGAGTGAACGATGTGTTCCCCTATACAAGTTACTGATGTAGTAGAACTTCTATTACTTAAGAAAAAACCAAAATGATAATAAATCCCACAGATCAATCTATAAGATCAACCTATTACTGAAAAGCAGCAGCTAGCTGCAAATACAATACTGTAAATGCATGTTGTATGTCAAGTTTTCAAAAACTAGAAAACTGCTTCTGAAATCCACATTTCTATTTCAGCCCACCTGCAGGGTACAACGTGACAAATTACTTCCACCTAGGACTGAGTTTAATGAGCTCATTTTCCTCACCTCCAACTCCTGCTCATATGATCCCTCCCCACTGTTCAGAAACCTGGGGCCCTCCAACCAATGGCACCTGAGTACTGACCTTGACAAAGAGAGGCTAGGACAATGTAAGAGGGCTTTCACTAAAGCTAAACGTATTCCATTGAAAGGACTGTCCTTTTTTTCTGAGAATTTGTCCTTGTAACTCTCTTAGCATTTAGATGTTGTTTCCTGAAATAATGCTAACGGAAGAATTAGCTTTTCAGTCCTTGACTCTGTCCACTTGTTAGGGAATTCAGTAAGCAGACAACCCCTTCGGTCTTCAAAAATATTTGTTTTGTGGTATTAGGGATTGAACCCAGGGCCTCACACATGCTAGGAAAGCATTCTACCACTGACCTGCACCCTAATCCCTTTGAGATAGGGTCTTGCTATCCCAGGCTGGCCTCAAACTTACAATCCTCCTTACTCACCCTCCTGAGTAGCTGGGATTTCAGGTGTGTACCACCTCCCCCAGTTTTGTCAAGTTTTACTGATCCATGAAGTTCGAAGTGTAAGGATTTCCTGTCTAACCTTTCTCCCTATCAAAATAATCCCTGAATTCAGTCATACACTATGTTGCCTAGTTTTCCCATAACCCCACATCATATATGGGCTTCTCACAAATTAGCAGTTCAGTGGTACAAAAGAACCTTTGCTTCATTAAAGTGTTAAGTCCCCCTACTGAGCCCAGAGATTTGAGGAGCCTGACCACAAACCTTTAAGGCTGGACTTTGTATCAAAAAAGTAAATTTGCTTTGCTTTGATTTAATTGGGTATTAAAAGAAAAAAGAATGTTTAGAGAGGACACTATGAAATCTCCTTTTCCTAGTGAGGAAGCTGAATAAAACTCTTCCATCCTCTATCTTTAAGCTGTCTGTTCCTCTGCCTAAGACCTTCTTTTTTTTTTTTGGTACCGGGGATCGAACTCAAGACCTTCTTATTATAGGATATGAGATTTCTGATAATTCTCCCATTTCCTCTCTCTAATTACATATATACATGTCTGTGTGTGTATATAATATAGGAATATATAAATATCCTAAAATTCTCTCATTCCTTCTCTTTTTACCCTTCTCCTCAGGGCCACACTCTGGTGTAGGTTTTCCTCACATTAAACCCAGAAAGCAGTGTGATGCTACTATTCCTGTCAGTGACCACCCACTGTTCTAGGCAACAGAATTTCCACTATTAGCCCCTACTCTGGAAAGCTGAACAATCACATCATGCAAGAAACCTACAGACAGGCCTGTGTTAAAGGACAGAAGTAAGGGCAAAGGAGAAAATATTTGGTCAAGACAGAACCATGGGTGACTTATGCTTGAGAAACTGAAAGTAGCTTAAGTCAAGAGAATGCCTTGATGTCCGGAAGTCTGAGTTGAATGTGTATTAAACATTAATAAGCTCAGTAAGGGATGAGGATTAAACTATAGGGGCTTAGAACAAACCACAGTACTGACAATGAGCAATAGATATCCTTTAAATAATAAAACAAGAAAAACTGTGACATTTGGTTTAGCTAAATAATAATAATATCACTGTACTGTTGATTAAATGCCTAATTACCTTGCAGGGCTAGAACTACACAACTGTCAAATATGTACCATTTATACTGGTTGGATTTTATTTTATTTCTACATAGACTGTTCTGGAATATTTACTTCTCATTGTTTGGAGTCAACCAGACATAGTCACTTGTTCACATCTAGAGTTGAACTTGACTGAGTTGGGTTTTTTGGGGGGTTTTTTTGGTACTAGGGATCAAACTCGGGACCTTGCACTTGTGAGGCAGGCAACGGAACCACTGAGCTAAATCCCTGGCCCTTGACTGAGTTGTTTAACAGGGTGTCCCAGCCAGAGTATAAATTGTCAAGGCCTCATTTTCAAACTAATGATTAGACTTATCAGAGTCAGATAACTCCCCAACTATTCTTGCCATATCATGGATGTGTAATTATATACACAAATGTCAAATAATTTTCTAAGTTTCTAAGTGTCATTATTAATTTGTACTAGAAAACTACGAAAGGAAAAAGAGCCACTGGCTTGCTCTCTGTACAACTCCTACTATAGTGCTTATTACCAATTAACAAAGGCTTTTAATGACTACCAAGTTCCCATTAGTCACTGACCTCCAAGTACATGAAACCTGTTCAGCATGTAATCTTACATGTCCTAACAAGGAGTTTGCAACATGCTTTCACTCTCCTCTGGTGGCAATTCAGCCAGCTAATCTGGGTGAGAGGTTAAAAGTGAACAAGTACGAGGAGCCGCACCAGCCTGCAGCACACTGGCAGGGGCCCAGGATTACAACTTGGTTAATTTTCCCTCTATTTGACAGGGAAAATAAGCCAGTTCAGCAGAAGACAGTAAGATAATGTCTCGAGGACAGGAAAGTCTACCATGTTTTGGAAAATAAACAGAAATGAAAAGAAAGCAGGGGAGGAAGGAAAAGAAAAAGAAAAGGATTAATTTAGCAGATTATTTTACAAACAAAAAACAAATGAGGAAGAAAATAAGAAAAGCATTGTCTTCCTCCTCCCAACTGCTTTCCATAAAATGCTAAATATAAAACTACTTGAACCTAATTTTCCCCGTCTAGCTCCCCAGGGCATGAACATACACATGCAGAAGTAAAGGAAAACAATTCTCACTATGTTGCTCCACTTGTGGCAAAGAAATCAAGTCTTTTCATTCCTACAGAAATTTGAAAAGGCCACTGGTCCATATAGGTTTCCAACTGCTAAATGGGGCTGGTTATCACTTAATATATTATAATACACTTTACTTAAAATCTCCTTACAACTGGTTTCAATAGAACCAAATGAGATAGGTTGGAACTGCTAGCTGTTTGTTATTCTTTGAGATTTCAATAATGTGAAGTGGGGGACCTAAGTCACACAGCGGGTCCTATGGTCACTAGGCCCCTGTTCCTATTGACTAATGTTAAATACTCCAAAGCTACATTTTTGAATAAGAAGCATGAGATAAAGACAATGGACAGAGAAGAAACTAAATACATCTAAGATTTACAAATATCCAAAACACAAAGATAATATTTGGAAGTGGTAGGAAAGAGGATTATGCATTTTTGCATGGCATATAGTAATTTCAATAAAAATGAATAATATTTTGTAGGCTATTTCAGTACAGAAAACATGTATTGCTTACTTTAGGTCAATAAAGCATTTTATTCAAAGAAAATATCTATTTAACCTTCCACCCATCAAAAGTAGAAAGAAAACAAAAGAAAATCTGGGAGCACACCTGTAATCCTAGCTGCTGAGGAGGCTGAGGCAAGAGGGTCACAAGTTCAAAGATAATATGGGCAACTTAGAGAGACTCTGTCAAAATAGAAAATGAAAAAGGGCTGGGGGCGTAGCTCAGTGGTAAAGGGCTTGCCTAGCATCCATAAAAACCTGGATTCAAGTCTCAGCACTGAAAAAAAAAGTTCTAATTCTACATCTGCACTTGATCTAGATTGTAAATTATTGCTCTTCTACAATAAATAAAAAGGCCTTTACATTTAAAACAATGCCCAAAATTCCTTATCTCCTTGTCACATTCTGGCACTAAAAAACACAAGGAGAAAGAAGTATGATATTCTCAAGTGTATGTACTGAGTGCCATATCTCCTTGTCCAAAATAATCAGAGGTTCAACCTTGAGCTGCAAATAAACCTGAGTGCCTCTTGGAGGTTCCTGCCTGGAGTAAAGGTTACTACAATGAGGCACCAAGAAAGGCGGTTTGAGGTACTGAAAGGGAGAAACTTGACGTGAATAAGCACCCTGACTCTCTACTAAGGGCTCCAAAGAGAGTGACTCCAAATGTGGAGATATGGCCTTACTCTTTAATTCCCATTTATTTCCCAAGCAGTAACTGGGGGCTTTGAATCTAGTTTCCTGAGTAGGTTTTCTTAGTTGCAACACATATTGTTGGCTCTAATTAATTAGCTTTCTGATGCTTCTTAATCTACTGTAAGCATTTTCAACCCAGGGTGATTTTGCTCACCATACCAAAGGGGATATTTGGCAATGTCTGGAGACATTTCTGGTTGCCATGGGGTGAGGTGGATCTAGCGAGTAGAGATTAGGGATGCAGGTAAACATCCTATCATACATAGGACGGCTCCCCACAACAAAGATTCATCCAGATCAAAAGAGCAATAGTGCTGAGGTTATACTGTCAGACTATGCACTATGCTGCAATGTATATCTAAATACATGTGTTTATTAATGTCACTAATGCAATGCTTGTTTTTGAATTCTAGGGGATAAAGTTTTGTGTTATTTTCTTCTTGTGCTTTATTCTACTAAATTCAGTTCCTAAGTTTTCATGCCTATTTCTGACCTATACATAATTTTTTTGAAGGGGGAGTGGGTAGAGCTGGGAATTGAACCCAGGGCCTCACCCATTCTAACCACATGCACTACCACTAAGCTATACTACCAGTTTCTGTTCATAACTTTTAAAACATAAAATGCTTTGACTCTATAATCTAATTCTTTTTTTTTTTGGTACCAGGGATTGAACTCGGGTCCCTGCACTTGCAAGGCAGGTGCCAGAACCACTGAGCAAAATTCTCAGCTATAATCTAATTCTTAATGTGAAGATCAGATAAATAGATTATAGGAACATAACCTGAAAAAAGAGTAATGCTAAAACTGAGAATTCTTGACTTTGTACAGCATAGGGAGCCTGTTTTCCCAAGGGCTTGAACACTAAGTAACTTATCTAAAGTAGGCCTCAAGCAGGGGATTTTGCTCAGTGGTTCTACCGCCTGCCTCACAAGTTCAATCCCTGGTACCAAAAAAATTTTAAAAATTTTAAAAATAAAGTAGGCCTCAGGCCTGCAGAACACAGAGGCCAGATACTGAATTCAAGTGCAAAGAGTTAATGGAATGCTAAGCCTTTTTCTAATATCAACCTAATATCCACTTTCCCTCCAAGGAAACTGAGGCTAAAGGCAATTTTACTTACTGTCCTTTATATAAAGACTTAGCTCTGAGACCTGGGAGACATTTTGGAGAGCAGCTTCTCTAACTTCTTAATTTGAGCATTTTAACTAGAATCAGTATTTTCTAGAGAAAGAATAAAACGCCAAGTTCATAAGGATTTGTCGAGGTCACCAAGTGAAATTAGTCTTAAAATCTAAGTTGACCTTCTCTTAGACCTATCCTTTTTTGCATAGTTGACCTCAAAATTTACATTTTAGTACAAACCAACCTTATTAGAGGATTTTTTAACTCTAATTTTTTTTACTTTGTCATCCTTTTCCTAAAGTACTTCAACTCTTGATCTTAATAGCTCCTTTCCCATCTTACTAATTAACATATGGAATATAGCTTAATTTTTACCTCAAGTCCAAGACTTTAAAAAAAATGACATTTTGAGCAGTGATTCTTGACACTTAAAGATATTTAGCTCAAATAGTGATTTAATCTAGTGATTAATTTCAATTTTCCTGCATAGGAAATAGAGGAGTTGAGAAAAAGGAGGTTACATTTCATCAAAATATTTTAATGTAAAAAAGATATGACCAAGTCTATAAGTGGCAAAAAAAATGAAGGGGAAAAAAACATTTTTCTTTTAATCAAACTATAAGAATGTTTCTAAAGAGGTTTTGCAGATACTAGCAGGCATTGTACCTAAAATGGTGCTAAGAGCTGGGAAATAGCTTTATGTTCCCATCCCCACCCTTGTCTCTCAAGGAGTCACACAGAGGCAAAAGGAGCCTCCAAAATGTTGTTCACCATTATATCTTGTATTTCCCAAACTTACAAAGACCAAACAATGCTTTTTAGTAAAAATTCTATTAAGCAACTTTATTCCATTTTGTTACCACTTTATTTGAATTCATTTTAGCAGCTGATCCAAAATCCACCAGCTTGATGTGTCCCATTCGGTCAATGAGAACATTCTCAGGCTTGATGTCTCTGTAAGCAAATCAAGACCCTGGATTAGTGTTATCTTCTCCATGCCAATCAGCAAGTGATTGCTCTCCTAGGATCTCAATTTGGCCAAGAATCTGGTTTATATATTCTTCTATACAGATTTTTTTTCCCTATTGATAGGTATGAACGACTAGCATATATTTTATAAAACAAAGTTTTAAAAAGAAGAACAAGAAAGGAAAGGAAGCAAACATATGTTACTAGATGGAGTATTTCTGTTAGAGGTACACATTTTACATTACAAAAACTAAGGTGAAAAGGCACTAAGTAACTTTTGAGGGTTTATTTTAGATTTTATAATTCCTAGGCTGGCCATCATTACATTCTCACAATATTCTCAGATATACATAAAACACCAGATGAATGAGGACAGGAAGAAACATCAACTAATTGAGAATCCCCGGCTTGAGGCCTACTTTAGATAAGTTACTTAGTGTTCAAGCCCTTGGGAAAACAGGCTCCCTATACTGTTCAAAGTCAGGATTTCTCAGTTTTAGTATTACTCTTTTTTCAGATTATGTTCTTATAATCTATATCATCTTTGTAAATTACTAACAGGTACAGTTAGAAGTATGCTATGGTTTGGATCTTAACGTTGCCTGATCCCTATAGTAGAACTATTGGAAGGTGGTAGAACCTTTAAGAAATAAACCCTAGTGGAAAGTCTTCAGATCACTGGGAGTGTGTCCTCAAAGAGCAATAAGAGATTGGCCTCTTCCACTCACTTTCTTGCTTCCTAACCATGAAGTGAGTGGTTTTAGTCTGCCACATCTTTCCACTACCATGTGCTGCCTCATTATGGGCACAAATCGACCATGGACTGAAATCTCCAAAACTATGAGCCAAAATAATCCTTTTCTTTTATAAGCTGATTATCTCAAGTATTTGATACAGGGATGGTAAGCTGATTAACACTAAGTACAACTCCATGATCTTATGTTCCTATATGATATGCAGTTCCTTCTGTAAATCAAATTCAGTTTATCTATCAGATAACCCAAAGAAAGCATGCAAGAATTCCTGATACTATTAGCTACATCATTAGCTAGTAATAGATCTTACTGGCAAATTTGAAAACATTATAATTATAGATCTATTTCACTGTTGAATAGCAAGCTAAAATGTCTGCCATTTTGGAAAGTTAACTTTCAGCCAGTTTCAGAGAAGACTGGCTAAAAATTGGACAAAGCATTATTTTGATCCTGAAATCATTCATCCATTCATTTCATTGAGGTATTCTTCCATGATACAGAAAAATTCTCAGTATGCTGCTTAGAGGTTTCACTTACCGATGTACATATCCCATCTGATGAACACTGTGAACAGCTAAAATCAGTTCAGCTAGGTAAAACTGAATCATATTTTCATCTAATTGGTCCTCATATCTATTCAAAAGTGATAGCAAATCCCCGCCAGGCTGATATTCCATGACCTGTAAGAATGCCAAAGTTATTAATTTTTCACACACCCAAAGAAGGGAATGCCTCAATTAGATCTTCAAATACCACCTGACGTGTTATAATTACAATGTCTCCACAAAGCAAGGAAGATGTGTGAGACATATTGTAAGACATAGGATGAGGTCCCTGCCCTACAAAAATTATATCCATTACCCAAGAGAATCAATATAATGAAAGACTAGTTAGTCCCAGACACCATGCACAATGTTTGCAAGGCAAGTCTGAAAAGTTGAATTAAATCCACCCACTCCCCACCCACCCACGTTGACACTCCAGACATTCCCTAGGATTAGGTATGCAGCGTAGATGGATATTCCTGGAGGGCAACAAACTCTCTTACATCCTTTTTGCATTCCCCTCAGCACCCAGCAGAATATAGGAAGCATGCAATAAATGTGATACAATCTTTTCCTTTTACAGTCAGTGTGGAAGGCAACTGAGTCTCCATTAAAAATTTAACTACAAATACATACCCTTTGACCTAGTAATTCTACTTCTAATGATTGATTTTATAGGTACTTACCATAGTTTCCACATAAACATAAATAAAATTCACTGCACCATTGTTTGTAACAGGAAAAAACTGAGAATCACTCAAATATCCATCCATAAGAGACTGGCTAAATTACGATATATCTAAACAATAGGATATGATGCAGGTACTAAAAACAAATGAATTCCATCTACTCACACAACCGTGAAAAACTGTTCATGATAATATAAAATGGCATCTTATATAAGATAAAATATATCCTCTTATATGAGAAAAATTATTAATTTGTTGGTATATGTAGAAAGAAATCTGGAAGAATATAAAGCCTCAGGAAAAATGTTTGCTTAACACAAAAACTTTTCTACCCCCAAAGAACTGAAATCTTCCCTCCTTTTGATGATAGCCAGGTGTAATATTCCTGAGTCAACACATGGCCTTGAGGCCACTTAACAGGGAGGCTTCAGACTCCACCTGAAGAATTTACCTCTCTGCCTTTCAATTTTATCCTCTGTAAAACTGGGATAAAACTAATCCCCTTGCAGCATTATGTGAGGATTAAGCAAGACAAGGTCTTCAGAGTGCTAGACAGGGTGCCTGGCACCCACATGAGGTCTTCCACTACCATTCAATTCCTGTCCTTCCCCTCCCTTTACTGTGTGGTCCTTTTTTAGCTGGAAAGAAGCTGGGTCCCACTTTGACCAGCGCTGCAGCCATGTTAAATTTTACAGAGTTCTATCTTTGGCTCTGATTTCCCATTTTATTGGCCATGCTATTGTCTTTTAAATTGTATCTAATCTTTTCTGGGAAAAGCCAAGATTCAAATATAGTGTAAAAAAGAAAACACTAAATCTAACAAACACTGCATTCCAGAAGCCAATTCTTGGATTTGAATTATCACTATTATCCTCCAAACTCATTTGCCTTTAGTTCAGAATTAGAAAAAAGCTCTAGATAAGCCAGATGTGGCGCATCTGCACAAATCCCTATGGTCCCCAGGCTGGTGCAGTAAAGATTCAGGAAGTCTACCTAGCACCAGATCAACCCTGAACCAGATACCCCTGCAGAAGCTAGCAACTTAGACATCCTCCCTGAGGGCTCCTTGTAACCTGAAAGTCTATCCCATTCACATGGCTTCTTACACTCCAGAGATACACAATCAGACGCTGGACAACTGCATTTGACAAGAGTTCATTTCCACTGCAAATGCTGAAAACAAGTTAATTTATGAAACTAACAAGAGCAATACTTACAAGGGGCGACACCTAATGACACTTCCTCCAAATTCACAGCAGACATAAGTTACTTGTCCAGGCCCTAGAGGAGCCCACAGGAGCCACCTGGCTGCCTGTAGCTCACCCACTCATCCCAACCTGGTTCTCCACAGGCCCTAGATATGTGGGTGAATGCTAATTTGCACGTCTGTTTAAAATATATATTGCCATTAAAAAGGTCTAAAATATCAAAAAATTCACACATAATAACAGAAGTACTCATACTTTTAGAACTCTAATTTCTTAAAATAAGAACAATGCATATTTATGATGACATGCCACAGTTAGAAATTTCCTGTGGCTCTATGAAAGATGTGGAAAAAACTGAACAGCTTCTAAGTTTAAGGCTGAGAAAGTCAAATATATAGCAGTTGCTGGCAGCTTCTAAGAGCTCACAGACTGACCATTATTTGGTATTTAGTGTCTACTCCTGAACATTCCATTTGTTACAGCCAGAAGAATAGTTCCAAAAATAAGAAGAACCTCTTAAAAAGATTAAAAAGTTACATATTCTTTACTCCTATCAAAGATCCCCACTTACGCTAGATTACTCTTTTCTACAGGTTGAACAATTTCCCATGTATTTAAAAGCCAGGATTGAGTGACAGCCCCTTTTTTTTTTTTTTGGTACTGGGGATCAAACTCGGGTCCTTGCGCTTGCGCAGCAGGCGGCAAAAACACTGAGCTAAATCCCCAGCCCTAAAAGCCAGGATTGAGGATGGACCTTGAGACCGTACTCTCGTACTTGTGTGAAAGAAACCATTTTGTACTGCTTTAGACTAAAAACCAGGATTGATTGAGAAAACAAAGCAACTAAAATGACAACAGCTCCTGGCCAGCAAGCTCCACCTCAGGGGGCAAAAATAGACACACTAAGTGACAAATGTCCAAATAGATTGGGTTCTTATCAGAGAAACTAATCAAACCTGATCCATCAACATAATTCCAGATGACCATATTATAAATTTCAACTGTGCACCATAAGGAAAACTTAGTTTGGACACTTACTGAGTAAATTTGTCCACCTCAAAATGTTACCCATATTCCAAAACTATACTGTGGGATACAGCTCCTCATTTTGTAATGCATGGAGCCTATAAGAAAGAGGACTTGTGTGAAGCCAACTAATCAATCATCATACTGTTGAGTGTGATATAACAAAGAACCAAGACTTGGTGGCTTTCAGAAACACCTTTGGACTGTTAAAAAAAGGAACCAAATCAAGAGGCTCCAAAAGCATCATCAAGTTACAAAACTGTGGTGCCGGGGATTTAGCTCAGTGGTTTCGCCACCTGCTGCACAAGCACAAGGACCTGAGTTCGATCCCCAGTACCAAAAAAAGTTATAAAACTGAGTTTTGTTTGTTTTTTTTTTGTACTGGGGATCGAACTCGGGTCATTGCACCTGCACAGCAGGCGGCGAAACCACCGAGCTAAATCCCTGGCCCAGAACTGAGTTTTAAGTCTTCATACCAGATGACTTGCTGTGGCCCATAAACCAGAGGCAGCATTACACTGTGAAAACACTAAGGACAAAGTCAACACCAGAGAGTGTGCCGGAGAGTTCATACACAACATCTAGTTTTATCTAAAAATGTGACTCTCTTCCTGATTTTCTATTCAAAGATGCCTACTAAGGCACTGATCCTCCCAAGAAATATGGCATCAAAACCAAGAGACTGTTAAGTCCTCCATAGGAGGGTTTCTCTGACTTTTCTGCCGATCAAAATCACCAGGAGAAGTGCTTTTTAAAAATAAAGCACATTCATCCAAATAAATATTTGAAGGCCTACTATGTGCCAGGCACTGTTCTAGATATCAAGAAAACAGCAATGAATAAGAAGACAAAAATCTTTGCCTTCAATGAGTTGGCATTTTAAGGGAATGAAAAATAATTAATAATAATCAGTGTAAAAGAGTAAATTATATCTCCTTCCAATCCCAACTGCTTAGGGAATTTGTTAAAAATACAGATTCCAGGGACTGACTCCAGACTTCACGGGCCAGGATCCTCAAGTGCAGTCAAGGAATTTGCATTTTTGATGAGCTACTGGGGCAATTCTGACGCAGCTAGCCTAGCACTACACTGGGACCTGCTGCTGAGGAGGCTGCAGAGCCAATGTGGTTCCCTACTCCAATCAAATCAAAAGTTTCTACTGCAGAGGTGCCCTTGAATAGACCTTGCCTTTAACACAGCCATCACTTCTGCTGCTCATATTCCTTTAGTGACTACCTGGAACCTTTCTGAATATTAAGACAAGACCACTGACAACCAAGGGCTGGAAAATAACCAGTTCATTAGCACTGAAGCAGCAATCTTCCAAGCTTGCAAGCACTAGGAATGTCTCCTGCACACAATGAACACCTGCAGGTCACCCAAATGGGGATCACCAACGCATAATAATCAAAAGCCAGGAAGAGAGAAGGGAGGAAAGAGCCCTCTAGTGAAACAGCCCTAAACAATGTGGCAACCCCAGTGGTACCAGAGAAAGCACAACAGCTGACAGCCAAGCCTGGCTTGGAGTTATAATGGGCTTGCTTTTTTAAAGCAGAGACTTTCAGGCCAACAGAGACAGACCCTTCTGATGACAGCAGCTGCAAATGCTAATTAAAGGGCAAATCTTACATGTGTTCAGTTTGGAAGGAACGGATGCTTCTCTGTTGGTGTTTGCATCTATAACGCAAGTACTCCAAAGGCAATTTCTATCCATTGTACTGAATTTCAAACAAAGGACAAATGTGTGTGTGTGTGTGCGCACGCGCGTGTGTCTGCGCATGCACCCACGTGCATGCTTAAGTGCATGTGCATGCATACAGGGAGGATATGAATATTTAATCGTGCTTTGGTACTGCTATGTTTGAAAGTGTCTCTGCTCATTTTTGAAAATTTAACCCCCAGATTCCTATGATGATGGTATTTGGAAGTGAGGCCTTTGGGAGGTGATTAGGGCTACTTGACCTCATGCCCTTGGATTTCTCAGCTTCCAGAACCATGAGCCAAATAAACTTCTATTCTTTATAAGTTACTCAGCCATCGGTATTTTGTTATAGCACCAGGAAACAGACTGACAAGTACTCTATTCCAATTTGTATGAAGCATCATTTAGAAATATGCTGTGCTAGCCACCTCTTAGAAATGTCGCCTTGAAATGTTTGCATGGCTGAAAGTGCCATGAAAAAGCAGAGTGATGTCCTTGGCATGATTATCA